AAGTGTTTGAAATTTGAATGTTGGAGGGAACGGTTTTGCTTGTGGAAAATGGAGGGAGACACGTGTCACCTTATGAATAACGGATCCATGCATTTAAGACAAGTGGCGGAAGGAGATTATGGTAGAAGTTATTAGAGGTTAATTTTTGTTACTATAAATAGAGTGTCTTAGACACATCCAAAGTGTGTTGTAATTTACCATTATACAAGTTACTCTTGAAATTACTCCAAGTATCCGAGTGTAGAGAAAACGAGTATTGTAAGAGAATGTACGTGATGTAAACACACCATCTTTTAAACTTAATGCAATTTACTTGTTTTTACTTTAAGTTTTACGAAGTCTTTTATTGCCTTTATTGTCTTTACCCTTTTACTCTTTACCTTACTTCTCTTCCTTTCTCTTCACCCTCAATCCAAATTCACCTTTACCAACAAACTTTCTTCTCTTTCATTAGAAGCCTTATGTTACCTTCAAATCAACCCGTAGTCGTATAGATGTTCTTGTAGGATTCTGTTTATCCCAACCTTATTCGAGTGTGGAACTTGGATAAAGTCTTAAAACCAAAAAAAAAATCTTTTAGCACATGTCCTAGGATCAATCTAATCGATTCTGTGAGTCACCAAAGTTAGATTTGGAAGATCAGCGGTTGTTTTCCGATTTTCAAGGGAAACAAAATGGCACGCCCAGTGGGACAGTGCTAGAAAATCTATTTTATAAAACTAAACTTATAAAAGATTCTGCAGTCTTACAGGTCCTTTTGTGAGAAGGTACACTTTTATGTTATTGAGAAGTGGTAAAATTACCGCTATAAACGAAGAGACGCGATCAAGACGAAGCAGTAAGAACATGGCTACGAATACAAACCAGCTAGACAACTCCAACCACCAAAGAGACGGTTCCGTCGAAGGAATAAGAGACGAGGGAGTTCCCCCTCCGATACCGTCAACCGGAGAACAAACGATGCTTCCTGTGAGGCCAGTGCCGACGCCTTCAGCACTTGGAGTGGGATCGACAGTGATAAGGCCTTATACTCAACCAGTGTTGGAATACATTGGTCACCAGACGTCAAATCCTCAGATTGTGTTAGGGGGAAGTTCGACGTCCAGGCAGTTTGTGCCTCCTGGTTTTTCACAGTCACCTAGAAACCCCTCATATGGGATGCCCACTGCTATGATGCAAGGGCTCCAAAGTGCACCCCCTATATTTTCAGATAAGGCGATGGCTTCTCCACTGCAAGGGTCAGGGTCAGGTGTGAACATGAGTCGAAACCCCCAGAGTTTAAGGTATTCGACACAAGGCCCAAATTTGGCCAACACGTCAGTTGCGTGTTTGAGACAACAGATGGATGAAAGTAACCTACAGATGGTTCAGACTTTGTCACAAACCATGGGTGAAATATTTCAGCCATTAATCCAAAATACAACCCAGACCAACCAACAATTGGCAGTACAATTAATAAGATTGGCTGAATTCATGGGGGTACCTCCCTTAGCCAGAAATCAAGCCGCAGTAGCGAACACCCCACGAGATAACCTGGCGAATGTGATAGAGGTCGACGTAGGAAACCAAGGAAGGGTAGTCCCTCCGGTAGTCTAAGAGCTTAGGGAAGAGTCATTGCAAAACCAACCCCGTGGCTTGGGAGAAAGAAATCCAGGAGTGGTGGTTGTAAATCGAAATCAAGACGCAGACAATGTAGTCCAGCGTGTTCGTCGAAACAACATAGCCGTAGACAATAATCTGGCGGCCATGGTCGAGAGAATTTTGGCCAGAAATGGGTTAAACACCGGTTTTACTAGGCCAAATTACACTTCACCCATAGTAGACTATATCCTTCAGGAAGAGCTACGTCCTAGGATGAAAGTACCTAAATTCACTAAGTTCTTCGGAGATACGACGGAATCCACCATCGAGCATGTGGCTCGTTACTTAATTGAGGTGGGAGAGATAGCGAACGACGAAAGCCTTAGGATAAAATACTTCCCAAGTTCTCTTACTAAGAACGCCTTCACTTGGTTCACAACGCTTCCCCCTAACACGATATGTAACTGGACCCAGTTAGAGTGTTTGTTTCATGAACAGATCTATATGGGTCAGACTAAAATTAGCTTGAAGGAGCTAGCTAGTGTGAAGCGTAAATTCTCTGAACCGATAGAGGAGTACCTTAATAGGTTCTGCCTACTCAAGGCCAGATGCTTCACGCAGGTCCCTGAACATGAGTTAGTCAAAATGGCTGCTGGTGGCCTCGACTACTCTATTAGGAAAAATTTGAACACCCAGTACCTAAGGGACATGGTCCAATTAGCCGATCGGGTTCGGCAACTCAAAAGACTCAAGGACGAAAAGGCTAAATTTAATAAAAATAAAAAGATAGCTTTTGTCGAATTCAATGATAACGTCGAAGGTCTGGGTGATGATTCCATGAGTTTCGACGATGGTGAAGTGGATCTTGCTGAACTCAAGCAAGGGCCACCTTACTTATGCAAAGTATTAGCTCCCCCACAAGGGAAGAGTTATGTCGAATCTGAAAAGAATGATAGGTTCCCAAAGAAAACATATACCTTTGACATCACAAAATATGATGAAATCTTTGATTTGTTAGTTAAGGATGGACAAATGATAGTTCCTCCTGGTGCCAAAATGCCATCCCTAGAGCAAAGGAAGCACTACAACATTTAGGCTCTCCAGCAACCACTGAAAAACGATGCCAAAACTCTGAAAAACGTTGCCTAAAACAATAGGGGACATTTTCTAGGTGTCTCCTGTGCGAGCGTTGCCTATTGTCTAAGGGGACGTTTTTTCATGATCTTTGGGCACGATTTTTAAAAATGTTGCCTAAATAAAAGGAATAGGGGACGATTATTTGTGACCTCTGAGGCGACGCTTTTTAAGTGTTACCACAACATGAATAGGGGACGATTATTCATGGCCTCTGAGGCGACACTTTTTAAGTGTTGCCACAACAAGAATAGGGGACGGTTATTCGTGGCCTCTGAGATAACGATTTTCAAGTGTTGCCTAATGCGGTTACAATTAGTAAGTGTCACTACTAGAAAAACTCAGTTTTCCTGCGGATTTTGACAAAATTTTCACAGTTTAGCAGATAAAGTCGCAAGAAATAATCGCAGAAAATAGTCTCAAGAAAATGTCGCAATCAAATTACTAATAATCATTTGTCCAACCAAATTAGTAAGAAAAAACAATGCAAAATTTCAAACTAGTGAAAATTGTAAGATTATATTTATCATAAGCATATTGGAATTAACAATTACACAATGCAAGAGACAAAAACGATAGAAATATTGACTTTCCTTTTGTTAATTTAATATACAATTATACAGATGAAAATGCTTACCACTATATTATTGTTGTGGGAAAAAATAAACACTTAATATGTACATGTAAAATATAAATATAGACACTTTCATCTATTCTATAGATCTATTCTATAGATCAGTTTTCATATCAGTTGTTATTTGGTTGTGCAAAGTTTGGTGGACAAAAGTTTGTAGCAGTAATAGTAATGCAAGTGCCTCTGAGACACCATTGAGGGACCTTTCTTGCATCACAAACAATCTGATAGCAGCCACCACATGACTTGCCATCATTAAACAAAGCAGTACTCAATGCAGCTGTTTTTATTCCATATCCATCTATGTTCAGATTTCTGTAGCCACATGCACCACCTGCAAAAGTTAATCAAAACAAAGTTATTATCATTATATACTTATCATGATAAAGATGATAAACAGGAAGTTGAAATGTACCCATTGTTCCTGAGGCATCACTTCCACCATAGAAAGTTGCATGAGCTTGCTGCCAAACAACAGATTATACTCTGAGTTATGAAGTGAGTAAATTCATCAGCAATATAAGAACACATAATTGGAATTAATATCTGTTAACCAGAATAATTTAACCGTTTCGCTAGAATCAACAAATGATGTACGAGAGAAAAAAAACAGCTTTTTAACATGTGCAACATAAAAAACTGTCAGACCTTACAAATTGAAGCAAAAATTTCAACACTTACAAGGATTCAACATTTGGAGCACATGATGATGAAGAAGCTCTAAGTTTCCCTGTTAGAAGTGAAATTAATGTCATAAAAATAAAATTTTAACTTAATAATTAAAAAATATACACATAACAGCATTTCAAAAAAATACTTGATTTATACATACCATGTCAATAGATGACTGAGGATTCGAATCCGTATTTTCACCAGTTACAAAGGGGTGCTACAGCCAATTATAAACTGAAAGTTAATCTCAGGGTGAAGTTGATTATCTCGTGCAAAACAATAACAAAGTAGACTCCAGTAGCTCCACTATTAATCAATAGCAGCACTAAAATGACTACAATGCTCATATGCAGAATCAAAAGAGAAATGCTCATAGAATCACCTGAAGCAGTTCTGATGCTGAAGAGATTACCTCAAACAGAATTTAAGGAGTAAAAATGTAAGCTACCTCTTGCTGGTATTGCTGGCTCCAAGGAGGCTTTCCTGTGGCCATCTCAATTACGGTACAACCCACACTCCATATGTCAGCAGAGCTGAAAAGGAAGCATCAGCATATGAAAACATCAATATTTAGTCTTGAAGGCATTTTGAAAATTCCTGCCACTAACTATTTTTCTAACAAAAAATTGTTGAACAAAGTAACTCTGATTCCTATTCAATTCGCGCTTCCTTTTGGATGATCTGACCTGACAAATGAGAAGCTTTCTTCTCTTGTCGTTGGTTGTTGTTCAACGATTTCTACCGCACTTTGCTCTTCATTTTCTTTTGCATCTTGCTCAACTTTCTCAACGGGATCAACTCGTACTGCCAATAAGTTTGATGTTGTTGACGTCGGTGACAATTCAATATCAGATGGGTAAAGATCTTGATCACCATCATAGGCTGAAACAGTGCGAGTTAAGTGATCCGTGGTATTGTAACGGTGTAGTCTTGGGCTAGTACTAGTAGACTGCATTGTTGAAGTGCTTCCATCCATGGTTCACACACTCAACTTTCCTAGTTTCAATCCGTGCTTCCTTTTCACAGGATTGTGCCATTTGTTTAAGGCTCTTGATGTTTGTTCATCAAATATTGATTTTTTCATTCTTGATCCCATCTGCAAATGCTTCAACAACCTTAAAATCTTAGTAACATTAGTAATACAAACTCGAGAAAATGAAAGCTTGTAGTACCTGAGTAACAAGAGCATATAGTGGAAGGTTCATGTAGCTGCAAAGACATAGCACCCCAACCCTTCAAAACCAACATGAGAGTTCACCAGAATAATTTACAGTGGTAATAAATCAATCATATACTAAAACTATCTTAACGAAAGATAATTTCAAATCGAACTTACCCTAATGCTAATTTGACTATTGCAATACTTTTATCGGCATGGAAACAATTTTCCCGCCCAAAAGAATACTGTAAATTATAAATAAATAAATAAATCATAACTATTATTCATTTATCATAATCTACATTATATCTAGTACAAAAAGACTATAAGAGTGAAAAGATGGTCTTATACCCATATCCACAAGATATATGTTATTTGAAAGGCATTCTGCAACAGAAAAGTATAAGTAAATTAAATTATAAACAAAGAATCAAAAAATTGAACTGATTGTATTTAAGAAGTTGAATACCTGAAATAGAGCGAAATGGATAAGATGAAGAACTAATTGAGGCCGAACGAACCAAAAATATTTGTCCGAGCCTTGAACAAGAGAAATCCCTTGGATAACTGCATGTTTTTCTGTGATTTCAATGGCCATCTTTGACAAAATGGATTAAAGTTTTGTTCCAACAATCAAAATTATCTGCAGCCGATTAAATAATTTATATAGTACTTATCTGAATTTCGAACCAAGGTTTTCAAATTACGAACCAAATTTTGAATTGTAATGTAACCATGATTGAAATCAATATGAAATTTTTTAAGAGAAAACAGAATACTTACAATAACAGGAATCAAGGATGCCCAAACTATAGCATGTCATCCTGAAAATATATGGAATTAACCAATTGAATATTCAAATATAGAAAAGTAAAATCGATAGGAACCGATCGAGGAGAAAGATAACATGTTGCTTACCATTAACATCTAGAAGCAAATAAAAAACAAATGATGCCCAAAGGACCGGACTGTCGGTAACAGAAGAAAAAAAAACACTTGATAAGCATGAATTTCAAATCAGTTATCATCAGAAAGATAAAAAGTAATGTTTCAAATGTATATTATAAAGATGTTACCTGACTCCGATGACAACCTTGAAGTCATCCTCCAACGATCTTTTGATATATTTTTGGAAGTTAAATTTACTTCCCGGTGACAAATGAACCTACATGCACGATACACCGTCAAGAAATGAACGTGAATCTGAACATTAAAAGGTATATTGCGGAGTAGGACTCACAACGATAAATCCATTGCGCAGAGTCAGATAGTCGGGCTTATCAACAGATCTATAAAACTGTCTAAAGAAGCAACTCTGAAATTGACAAAATCGAAGAAATGGTTAAATGTTTCTTCATCATAAAAAACTGAATATTAGTAAAGTTGGTCTTACTATATAGAAGAAGATTGGATTTTTAGTCCAAAAAGTGAAATGTCGTCTAACAAACGATGTTTCGTGTGTAAGCCAGAATCTTGAAGGATCTACACGATAAATGCACAACAAACAAAAACAAAGCCATGAAATTGCATGTAACACCATTTGAAAATGTAATAGTCTGTTGTAATCAAAGAAAAACACTTATATACATCATTGGCAGCTTACCATTCGCAAAATCGTATCCAAGAGACAAAATCTCCGCCTCCCATGCCTTCCATCCTCGTATCTACATAAAAGAAATTCTCAATCATCAACTATAAGTTACGATTAAATCACGATTCCATGTGTTTTCACCTAACAAAGAAAAGACAAATTGAACATTAATTTCCACTGTTGTCGCCGCAGATGCTGGAACTTGTGCGTGAGTTTGAAGAACTATGAGTTGTCGTCTCCACGATGGTTTAGAAGGCGTTTGAGGGTGGCCCTTTCTTAGTATTCGCAGTGTCGGAGGTTGGCGGCGACGAGGTTGGGGTTTTGATTGAGTGAGGAGGATAGATGGTGAGGAGCAAGGGTTATGAGGCGGGGATGGTGACGATGGCGGCTGTTAGGGTTTGTTGTTGGGAGAAGAAGAATGAGGATGAATTCGGTGATGGCGAAGGTGAAACAAAGGGAAGGAAAACGAAAGGGGGTTCGCGTGAAGGCGGAGAGAGAAAGATGAAAAACAGAGAGGAGATGATAAGGGGTGGATGAACTTGTTTTTTTTTCTTTTTTCTATTTTCTATTTTTTATATATTATTAGTGATTTTTTTATATAAAATTTTTCTTATAAATGGTGGAATGTGTTAAATAATAATAAAAATTTTAAATATAAAAAATTATTTAAAAATATTTTTCTTTAAATGTGAGATATGTGTTACATAATATAATAAATATAAAAAATTATCTAACATATAATAGAATAATATACTATTATATTATTATATTTAACATTTTTAGTTAATTAGTATTTTTATTTTTATTTAATAAATTTTAAGTTTATAAATATATTTAATTTATTATAAAAGTTATTCACATGAATAGTTATGGTATGTAATATTATAAAATATTTAGCTCTAACAATAAATACAAATTTTAAATATAAAAAATCATCTAAAAAATATTTTTCTCTAAATGTGAGATATGTGTTAGATGATATAATAAATATAAAAAATTATCTAACACATAATATAACAATATACTACTATATTATTATATTATGCGTTAGATGATTTTTTATATTTAATTTTTTTTTAATAATGTTTAGAGGAAAATATTTGTTTAGTGGATAATTTTGGAGGAAAGATTGCCACCAAAAATTTGATGTTGCTAAAATCTTATGCAACATTGAATGAATGTAGCCTTTTATTAGAAGTAATGTAACAATTTAAAAATGTCCCCAAAAGTATTTAAGGGGACAATTATCAAACATTGCTAAAGAAATAGTATAATGACTCTCCAAAATCGTCCTCAAAAGTAGTTGAAGGCACATTTAACAATCGTTGCCAAAAAAATAAAAGAGTGACGCTCTAAAAACGTTCCCAAAAATATTTTAGGCAACGATTATCAAGGGTTGCAAATATATTTTTGTCAACAGCCATAAATTGTTGCCTTTACGAATTTTAGGCAACAATTTTTACATGTTACCTAAAAAAGTGTTGCCAGAGACAACAAATGTTGTAGTGAAGAAAATAGGGTTTTGTAAATGTCATAATTTCTTGGGTCATAAAACATCTCAATGTTTTCTTTTCAGGGACCTCGTTCAGAATGCGATCCAAGAGGGATGTTTAAAGTTCGGGGAGAAAGTTGGTGGCCAAATGAGGGTCGACTTAGATCCTCTACAGACGGCAGATGCAAATTACACAGAGCCAGTCGAGGCTAACATGATCGAAGTTTCCAGCGGTTACGACTTCTCAATCGAAGCAACAGAGGCTGCTGGCAATCCCATAGACGAAGCGGTGATGGCGAAAGTTACCATCAGTTTCGAACAGGAGAGCGGTGTCGAAATGGAAGTTGATAGCTGTGACCAGAGGGGTGAAACCAAAGGCCCAAGGAACAGGAACAATCTGGGTTGGGAGATAGTGACCAAGAAAACAGCTGATGACTTCGTTAAGATCGATGAAGCTACCAAAGGCGTGGAGTTAAGCTTGAAAAAGCTTAACCTGGCCAAAGAAATTGAGATCAACATGGTTCAAATCACTCAGCATGAGGAGGTAGCGGATAGTGAGTCAAACTACCAGGAAACACGCACAAGGGAAGCCTACCCAGAGCAGGAGGAATCCATCATTTCTTTCCTTCACCGCTGCCAGCAAAAGGATTCTAGTGTGATGCTCTGTCCCCGATGCAGCGCCATATTCGACAAGAAGGCTGCACAAAAGTTGGAGGGGACACGAAGGTTGAAGTAAGAAAGCGAAAGGCCAAGATCCGACCCTCGAAGAGGCCTCCAGCAGAGATCTGACCCTCGCATAAGGCCTCCGATGAACAAGCCCACTAGCTTCAAGCCCAATGCTGAGGCCACTGACGGGAAATGGACAAAGCCTAATGAGAACAAGCAGCAAGGGCGGAAGAGATTGAAGAATTTCGAAGTACAAAGGGGATCCTCGTTAAGCTATCGAAAAGAATTTCAATCTTCGAAGGCTGCTCATATATCAGAAAATTACAAAGGGAAAAATCCCATGTCTCGATCCCAATGGAGATGTGAGCAGAGAAGAAGGAAATCACACAGAGAGAGTGCACACAAAGACCAACCACAGTCCAGCACCAATATTCCCACAAAGTAGGAAGGTCGAACGGAAGCTCTTGGGAAGGCACCTGTGGGAAGAAAGTTATTTCCAACATGGATGGAAGAACAAATAAAGTCGGTTGACGATGAAATGATCGATAACTTCAATGAAGATTCTGATGATACGTTGGATATTTTGGTCAACGTAGTGTCAGTGATGCCCAGGGAGTTCGACAGGGTTTCAGTAGTCGAGAACTCAGACGCCTATACGGACTAGGAAATAACGGCTCATAAGCCAGTATGCTATTATATAATGAACAACGGCTACGTCGAGGAGAAAAATGCTTTCTTTGAACGGCCAACAGAGGCGATGAAAAACCATTTGAAGCCTCTTTATATCACAACACAAATAGAGAAGGTCCCAGTCAACAAAATATTGGTGGACTGCGGCGCTATGGTGAACTTGATGCCGCACTTCTTGCTGAATAAAAATGGGAAAAGTGAGACAGACACCAAGCCACACAACATGGTGTTATCCAATTATGAAGGGAAGATAGGTTTGACTATGGGGGTCATTCAGGTAAATGTCACGGTCTAAACCATCACCCGTCCGACTGTCTTCATGGTGGTAGAAACCACCGCCAATTATAATCTATTACTTGGAAGAGAATAGATCCACGGAGTGGGGGCAGTACCATCATCGATGCATCAGAGGATTGCTATCTGGCGACCAGATGGTATTGTCGAAAACATCGAAGCGGATCAGGGATACTTCAAAGCACCTGTAAATCAAATTAATAGAGGATAGTTTGACAAACATTTGGCCAGTATAGGGCCATGCGAACCTGCAGACTTCGACTTTACACCTAATGACGAAGTGTATTGTTCATTGTATCTGCATCCCGTCAAAGGTTTCCGATGGGACAAGGAGGTTCCAGGCGAAAGGTTACCATACCTTGGTGAACTTCCCGTAGACCCCACTGGCTGGGGAAGTGAGTTCGATGATGATGACTGAAGTTGCAGTGCTTCAAAAGATTTTGGCCTACGTGGCCGAGACTAAACTACAAACGGCCTTGGAGGCCGCTAATAATAAAATGGCTGAAGAAGCCAATGAAAAATCCAACCAAGCAGGTCCAGTTGGGTATTTTGACCCTAAGATTCAATACGAGGGGCAAAGAATCGACGCCATATACGACGATGAGCCTTTGGGTTTCGAAAAGGACCCCCTGGTCAGCGATGTCAAAATGTTGGCGCAAGATCCACTGGAGGAAGTTGACCTGGGAGATGGAGCAATCACAAGGCCAACTTATATCAACGCCATCCTCGACCCTCAACTTAGGGTCGAAATCATTCAGTTACTACAAGAGTACTTGGATTGTTTTGCTTGGGACTACGATGAAATGCCAGGTCTATAAAGAGATCTAGTCGAGCATAGGCTACCAATCAAGCCTGGCAAAAAACC